CACACACACACACACACACACACACACACACATACATATACAGTACATGCAGGTCCAGTGTTGGCACGGTTTGTGAACTTTTTTTCCCTCCCCCAAAGAAAATTCTGGCATTTATGAAAAATCATGAATGAAGAAATATTTCAATATTGGAAACTAAACAAATTTTTATTTAAACTGTGTAAGCCAGAAAACCAAAACCAAAAAAAAAGCGCAAACCCCTCTGGCCAGATTCAGATTAGGGCTGAATCTGTTTGTCCTGTTGAGTAAACCGCTCATACAGAGAAGAGACACGCTTCAGTTCGGCATGCGACATGCGGTGGGCCCGGGCTTAACTTCACCTGAGGCATTTTAAACTTTCTAGTCCCCACTGGTCTGTCGATAGAGTGGAGACAGAACTGCCTTGTGGTTAGACACACGTAATCCACATGTCATGGGAGAGTTCTCAAAGAACATTGGTTACTGTTCCCATCCTCAGAACCTGGTTCTCGGGCTTGTCCTTTGACATGGCCATCCAATCTTACAAGTTTTAAAACCTGTCCAGAGTAGAAATAAAGTCTGAATTTCTTAGTCTGAGCAGGATACATCTCAGAAGAGCCAGATCGCTGGAGGGGTAAGTGTCGGGAGAAGGACAAGGGGAGCAGACATGTGAGCCTGCATCCATTCTCATAAATACTTCTGAGTCGGGACCCAGTGGATTTTCCAAAAATAATATTATCTTAACATTTAAAGATAAAGAACATCGTGGATAAAGGAGAAGTGGTCATTCCATGTAAGGACCCAACAAGATTTAAACGCCTCAGGTGCTTAAGGGGGTGGCCTAACAAATCACAGGCTCCCTCAGAGTGAAAGTAAGGGGTGTGGGGTGGGGATGGGGAAGCCCAGTATGGAACCGTGGGGCAAGGGGCTACGCTTTCCCGGATAGTGGTTTATGGGCGGGGAACGGGGGTTGCTGGTCAGGTCCTATCGGCGTCTGTCAAGTTCTCCCCTCTGAAGCTTCTTGGAAAGCAGGCAAGTGGGTGGGTTAAGAGCACTGGCTACATGAGAGCCAGGCATTGACTAGGTTCGAATCTCACCTCTGCCATTTTATTCCTGTGTGACCTTGGGCAAATCAATTAGGTCTGTAAATTGGGAATAATAATACCTTCCTCCTATGGTTGTTAGGAGTTCAAATGATGGGAGAGAGAGCAAATAAGTTCCTTCATGGGAAGCTGCTCTATGAAATTGCTGATCACTCTAGCTCTACAGCACTACTGTGGGTTTTTTTTTTTTTGAGAGATTTTCGCTATAGGGCGTGTGCGCTCGCCAGACAGACAGAGAGAGGCATAGAGACAGAAAGTGAGAAATCACCCCCCAGGGGAGATGGTCACGCCGCAATCCCTTCTCCATTCTCCTCTGGGGATCTTGGGCACGCACGCACACGCGCCCAGCATGAGTTTAAGCCGTCCGGTCCGGGACTTGAACCGCAGTTGACTACGTGGGAGTCCAGCGACATAGCCATTCTGCGAACTGCTGGTTCCCCACAGCACTACTGTTTTTGTGAGAAATGTGTCATGGTGATACAGCCATTACATTTGCTCCTAGAATCCACTCCCGGTTTGGCCTGGTGGTTTCCCAGCTGCCTTTTTTTCTTTTTTTTTTGACTAGAGGGTGTGTATCCGTGCCAGAGAGATACAGAAAGGAGAAAGCACCCTGCATGGGGCACAGTCATGCCACAATCCTTTCTGCTTTTGGCATTTTAGACATGGGTGTTTTTCAATCTGCCTGGTCAAGGACTTGAACCATGTAGTTAGGCGTGTGGGATCCAACTCACATAGCCACCATCGAATTGGCCCCAGGCTGGTTTTTCAAATGAAAACTGAAGCCATCTACCCCCACCCCACCCTGATCAATTTTTATGTAACTGTGAGATGTAGTCCTGTTAATCATATTAATCACCTGGCTTTTATTAAACAGTACTTCCGGGAGTGCTGCATGAATTAAGTCTTAGTATAAGTGAAGGATTTAATAGGGGGAAAATTTTTTGTTTTTTTTTTTTTTGTTCTCAAAAGCAAAGTCTCGTGAGAGCTTGAAAACAGTTGTTGGTGTAAAGGCCTTGTATCTTGCCATTGTGTCCGACTCTGTTTGCCAGCCAGCTCACGTACCCACAGGTTTTATCAGTGAAATACAACGTGGTAGAGTCAGTACCTGTGTACCCCTAAAGTGTGAAGCTCTGATCATGGCTTTTCTTGCCCTACCCACCGTGAAATATGTGCTCTGCATCAGATAATTACAGGATTGGAGAACCTATTTGAAAGAGGGAAAAAAATTTTCCCTGGCCTTTGCCATCAATACTTTTCCCACCTGGTTAATTGCATCCTGTGTAATTACTTTTGCCCTGGGAGGGGAAGGGTTGAAAACGGCTCCTTGTCTAGCATTCAGAAAGAATGTGAAATCGATATCTCGTCAATTGAGGCAGGCTGTGGGGGTCCCCAGCTGCAGTTGGACCACTCCAGTCTCCCCGTGGGATACACAGCTCCAGTGCTGGCTCTTGTGGCCGCCAGAGCTTAATCCTATTGAAAGCATCTAGTTGAACGTGCACTGGGAGAGGCTCAGGTGGCGGGAGGCTGGGCTGGTGCCTTTCAGAGGCGCGGTGGGTGTCCTGGAGCCTCTGAGTGTGTGAAGAGTGCACACTGGCACCCTTGGGTGTCTGCCTTTCAGGCACGATTAGAGCAAGACGCGCTTTGTAAATCCCGTGCACATTCCCCTAGTGATTTCATCTCAAGCCTATGAACCCCTTAAGTGCAGGCGCACACTTGGTTGAGAATTCCC